CTGTTCAGAAACTCTGGTATTGAAGCATGCAAGTCTTAAAGCTATCAAGTTACAAGATCCTTGCCAGTGGTGGGTTTCAAAAATTTTGAATTTTTGGAACCTCTTCTGTAGGTGTGGCCTGCTTTCCGGGTCCACTGGTGGAACCTTTTCTAACCGGTTCGGGAGATTTGACGAACCAGTTCTACCGAATAGGTGCGAACTGGTAGGAACCCACCTCTGGTCCCAAGTCACTTTTTCTGTGCTGTTTTGACTTTGAACTGTTGTAAGTCAAGGACAACCTGTAGTTTTCATTGCGATCCTACGTGGGCTCTGACAGCCAGCTCAGCATTGTGTATCCAATATTTGTCATTTTGGTCTTTGTCAAAGGTGTGTGTGTGTGTGTGTGTGTGTGTGTGACGCTTCCTGCGTGGCATAAGGTGAACTTGTTTGGCTGCCAGAAAACCATCTTGTGGTGTTAACAGATTGGGCTTCCTCTCGGCCAGGTGGCAACTTCCGTGAGTACAGCTGCTCCTCTCTTACCTGTGACTTTTTTATCTGTTGTTCCCACCTGACAAACCATCACACATACTCCGGAGCAGAATAATCCAGCAGATCTTCGCCGGCTTCTTTGCAAATTCAGCCGTTCCTGGATCGCCTCCTCCGTCTTTCTCCTGGTGAGTGGCGTCCACTCTTGGCGACAATTGTGTTGCCCTCAAGTGCTTGGATTCAAGGGTGTGGGGAACATGTGAAGTTGGGGTTGTCCTGGGACCTTTTCAAGCCGCTTCTCAGGTCTCACCCCGGGAAGGGAGGGCCGGGAGCTTCAAGAGGGAAGATGGTTTGCAGCTCAGGCAGGCAATTTCCCTCCTCTTCGTCTCCGGGTTTTTGATCCTGCTCTCGGCTTGTCTTTGCGGAATGGGAGGACAACTCGCCATGGCCAACTCACCCCACAGGATAACTCGCTGCGAGACAATTCAACAATTCAATTATTTAAAATAATTTTTAAAAAACATTTTAATTTTCGTCCTTCACATTTCATTTTGTCCGTGGAATGGTGCGGTGGCCTAAAGGTAGAGCTGTCACCTCAGGAGGCTGTGAGTTTGATCCTAGGTAGAGGCAGATATTTCTCTTTCTGGGCACAATGAGAATATACCTACCGAACAGAACTCCGCGCTGGCAACAGGAAGGGCATCTGGCCATTAAAACACTCTGCTAGCTCCATTCAGTTGCCCAGACTCCATCCTGCCAGGGATTATGGGATTGTTAAGAGATGATGATGATGATGATTAGTGCCTTTTCCCTGGAGTGTTGCGGTGGCCTAGAGGTGGAACTCTCGCCTCACAATCAGGAGGCTGTGAGTTCAATCCTAGGTAGAGGCATATACTGTATTTCTCTCTCTGGCCACAATGAGAATATAACTACTGAACAAAACTCCGCATTGGTGACAGGATGGGCATCCGGCCAGTAAAACACTCTGCTAGCTCCATTCAGTTGACCCACACTCCACCCCGCAAGGGATTATGGGGTCGTTAAATGATGATTTCCTTTTTGTCCCTCCTTCGGCATCTTTTCATGGTTCTGCTCACTATTTCCTTGATATTAGTGTGACTCTTGTCCCACAGCGAGTTGTCCTGTGATGAGTTGGCTGCAGAGAGTTGGCCGCGTAGCCATAGACCCGGAACGGCGGGCTGGAAGCTTGTTGAGGGAAGATGGCTTGAATCTCAGCCAGGCAATTCCCTTCCGCTTCATCTCCGGGTCTTTGGTCCTGCTCCGGGCCTGGCTTTGAACTGGACAACCTCCCCTATTTCACAGCTCCCACATCCTGGTTATCCTTGGAGGATTGTGCTGACCATTGCAGCTGAACCCCTTCCCCCTGGGACCCGGAACTACTTCTCCTATCCTGTTTCCCCCAAAATAAGACCTCCCTGGATAATAAGCCCAATCGGGCTTTTGAGTGCATGCGCTAAAATAAGCCCTATCTGAAAATATGGCAACACAGCAGCAGCCACGAGGTGACCACGTTCGCCGCCACCTGCGCCCCAAATATAATAAGGCCTCCCCGAAAAGAAGGCCAAGGGCTTATTTCGGGGATCAAAAGAAAATAAGACCCTGTCTTATTTTCAGGGAAACACGGTAGTGTCTTTTTCTTATTAGGAGTTGTAGAAAACTGGGGGGGGGCAGCCAAGAGGGCTGGAAGTCCTTGTCCACCATGTGGGACTTGTAAGCTAAGGGGGGGGGGAAGCAGCTCTTTTCCCCCAGGCCTCCCCCCGTTGAGCTCCCTTTTCTTTCCCTCCCTCCAGGGGAGGCATGCAGGGCAGGCTGCATTCTAGCTTTGGGGACTACGCGTGGGACCAGAGCGGCCTCGATGCTGTCTTGACCCAGGTAAAGGCACCGGCCAGCAGGCCCCGGGCGAGGCTGCCCTTCTCCTCCGGCAGGGACACCTGTGGGGCAATGCTGGGCCTTCTCTTCCCTTGTGGCAGTCTCCCTTTGCTTGTCCACCATCGCCTCACCTGGTCCCGTCTCTCTTGCTGGCCATTGCAGCAAAAGGGAATGAACCTGCGTCATTTGGAGCTCAGCGTTGAAAGGAGACTCACTGTTCGACCGAGGCTTCCCAAGAGCCTGAAGCCAACTCCTGATTGTCCCGGCAAAACCCCCTTTTATTAATCGACTGTGAATTCTGCTCATTCACATCCAGCAAAGTCTTTCAAGGGAGGATTTACAGCCACAGACCTTATCTGGCTTGGAGAGCTGCCAGGCCGATNTGCCCCCAACAACAATCCGGGTCCTCATTTTACCCACCTCGGAAGGATGGAAGGCTGAGTCAACCCTGAGCCGGTGAGATTTGAACAGCCGAACTGCAGTCAGCTGAAGTAGCCTGCAGTGCTGCATTTAACCACTGCGCCACCTCGTCGTGCGAGTGGCCGAATGTCACCTTACGGGGTTTTTTAGGGGGAACCCCAGTGGGTCAAAGGATGAAGGCGCCTCCTCCTCCTCCTCCCTTCGGCCTTCAAATCAACCACGGGCCCCAGCAAACATGTCCGTGGCTTTGGTGACCACCTGAGTTGGATTGCAGGCAGTCCTTGACTTACGACCACGCTGGCGCTTGAAATTTCTGCTCTATCTAGAAATTCTGAATAAGCATACTGAAATAATTATTTCAGGCTACGATGTCTTGATCCCTTTGGGAGTTCTGGCTCAGAGCAATTCAGATGTTTGGATCTGTAGGCAGTCCTTTTAAAAATAAAGCTATTTCCCCCCACCTCCATCTGTTGATTCTGAATTTAGCCCTTGGACTCAGCGTGTCAAGCCACGTCACCCTTGACCTCAAGCCACTGCTTTGCCTGAGCTCATCTTTCCTTTCAACTCAACTGGTTCAGTCGCGTTGCTTAATGTCGTCTTGGTCACAAAGGGGGGAAACTCCCTGGCCTATCTTAGGCGAGGCTGATACGGATACAGGTGATCAAAGTTGGAAGGGACCTTGTAGGTCATCTAGTCCAAACACCCCCCCCCCCCCCCCGCTCGAGCAGGACACCCTACACCATTTCTGACAGATGGCAGTCCATTCACATGGTTGGGCTTTGGAAGGGCTCCAGAACTGTATCTTCCTTCTGCTTATGGAACTCTTCTGGCCCTCTGGCTTTAGAGTCAGGGTCAGTCAATCAGAATAGAGCTGGAAGGGACCTCAGAGGTCTTCCAGTCCAACCCCTGCTCAAGCAGAAGACCCTCTACCGTTCCAGACAAATGGGTATCCAACCTCTAGAATTCACCATAATGCAGTCAAAGGTAACTAGTGTTTTAGACTTTAAGCAAGCCAACTTCAACAAGCTAAGACAGTGTTTCTCAACCTTGGCAACTTGAAGATGTCCGGACTTCAACTCCCAGAATTCCCCAGCCAGCGAATGCTGGCTGGGGAATTCTGCGAGTTGAAGTCCGGATATCTTCAAGTTGCCAAGGTTGAGAAACACTGCGCTAAGAGATTGACTAGGAAGGATTCCATGGGTGGAAAACGTAGAGGGGAAAACAATGCAGGATGCTTGGGATAGTCTGAAAAACAAGCTTATAAAAGCCCAAACAAACACAATACCACAGAAAAAGAAAAACAAGAGACTCCAGAGCAGACTAGCACGACTACACAAAGAGCTCATTGCCAAGTTAAGGGACCAACAGGACAAGTACAGATAGTCCTTACGACCACGACAACACACTTATATTGTTAAGTGAGAAATTTGTTAAGTGAGTTCAGCTCCGTTTTGCAACTTTCCTGGCCACATTTCTTAAGTGAATCCCTGCAGTTGATAAGTTAGTCACTCGGTTGTTAATTGAATCTGGCTCCCCCATTGACTTTGTTTGTCAGAAGGTCGCAAAAGGGCATCACGTGACACACACACACACACACACACACACACCGGGAAGACAGCCATGGTCATAAATACGAGTCCATTGTCAAGAGTCTGAATTTTGATCATATGAGGATGCTGCTGTGAGAAATGGTCATAAGTCACTTTTTTCAGTTCCATTGTAACTTTGGACGGTCACTAAGCGAACTGTTGAGGATTATTACCGGTATAAAAATTTGCTTTCTGGTAAAGAAAATCCTGCTTTCCCCCTCAGGTGGAGTTTTCATTGTCCCTCTAAGCCGGTTCTGACTCTTTCCCTTAAATTTCCATCTCTCTCCCTCAGTTCTGGGACCAGCTGGATCGTTCCATGGTCTTCCCATTCCTAAGCAACTCTCTGGACCACAATGGCCGGGACAACGAGAGGGGCCACCAAGCCCATGCAGATCTTTGGGGACCAAGCCGACCCCCGCGACTGCCTATGGCCCGGCGGTATCGGCCCCGCCTCAGCACACGGCCCGATCGGTCGCCGGCCATTGAAGGGTAAGAACCGAAGGGGCAAGTCCAGCTCTCCGTGCGGAAGAGAGAGAAACGGCTGTCCAGCTGGTCAGAGAAGGGGGCGGGGGGCGTTATTTCCCTGAGCGAAGGTAAAAACAAGGATAGCCTCAAAACCAGTAGAGGGAGTCCTCAACGGCCGTCTATTGAGCCCAACGTTTCTGTTGTTAAGTGAAACATTTGTGAAGGGAATTTTGCACCCGCTTGACGACTTTTCTCGCCGCGTTTGCTTAGTGAATCGTTGCCATTGTTGAATTAGTAACAAGGTTGTTAAGTGAATCTGGCTTCCCCACTGACTTTGCTTCCCAGAAGGTCTGTGTTAGAATGAACTAGCCGATAACTCGGAGTTTCCCCGGTATTTATTTATAGGGGGGAAATATCCGGACCAAACGTCATTTCTAATGTTGGATTTTTCCCCTTACCACAGGGAGCCCCCTTGTGGAGTACTGTGAGTTACCATGGCACCGCCACTGTGCTGTACAGTAGAAGCCATTTTAAGGCAGTACAGTAGAAGTCGTTTTAAGGCACAACAGGCTGTATCTTAACAGAACACACACCGAGGGGAGTTAGGGGTGTCTTATCTCCACATATTTGTCTCCAGAGAGTCAGTCATCTGTGTACTAAGTTTGGTTGAAATTGCTCCAGGCGTTCCAGAGTTATGCTGGAACATGCACACACACACACACACACACACACACACACACACACACACACACACAC